TCTGCTGTCTGTGACCCCACACTGTGAAGGAGAAGGAATAGCTGTGTTCTCATATCCTAGTCAGATTGAAAGGGGAGGCAATCCAGAGTGCAACTCTTCATAGCAACAGTAACCTGACTGGTGGACTTTCATTCCAGGGACGCCCCTCAACAACATGGAGTACTGCTTCAACTACTTCACTGAGCTGGTCCTGTGCCACTGCGTCAGGGTCAGTGTGTCTGTCACTGTCTCACTGCTCTGAGCTGGCTGTCTCTGTGTTTCACTGCTCTGAGCTGTCTGTCTGTGTCTCTACCTTGAGCTGTCTGTATGTCACTGTGTCTCACTGCTCTGAGCTGTCTGTCTCTGTGTCTCACACTCTGAGCTGTCTGTTTCTACCAGGTTACAAGTAGGTAGTGTATGTCAGTGTGTTAGCCCACATGTCTGTGTGCTGGGTGTTTAAAAATGATCTGGTCTCTCCCCCTCCCCGCTGTGTCCCTCTCTCCAGCGCCCTCCCTTCAGTATTGACCTCTTCAGCCCAGAGCAGGCCACACAGATCACAGAGTACCTCGTCAACACCTACTTCAGGCACTACGCCCTGTACAAGTACACCTTCACTCCCCAGGTGCTGAATGCCTGCAGCTTTTTCTGCCATTTCACAGACTCACTCTGCCCACCTGTCTGACTGACTGACTGACTGACTGACTACTGATCTGTCTCACAGTCTGTCCACCTGTCTGACTGACTGACTACTGATCTGTCTCACAATCTTTCCACCTGTCAGACTGATTGACTACTGATGTGTCTCACACTCTGTCCACCTTTCTGGCTGACTGGCTGCTGATCTGTCTCGCACTCTGCCCACCTATCTGACTGACTGGCTGCTGTTCTGTCTCACACTCTGCCCACCTGTCTGACTGACTGACTACTGATCTGTCTCGCACTCTGTCCACCTGTCTGTCTGACTGATGATCTGTCTCATATTCTGTGCACCAGTCTGTCTGACTGACTGCTGATCTGTCTCATATTCTGTCCATCTGTCTGACTGACTGCTGATCTGTCTCTCACTCTGTCCGCCTGACTGTCTGCTGGCCTGTCGCCCTCTTGCAGGTGAGACTGGACCTCTCTCTGACCTACTGCGGGATGCCTGAGGCCGAGGCAGTGGACAGTGACTCCCTGGAGCCAGGTACTGGCGCCACGCAGCAGCCCCAGCTCACACTGAGGCCTGTGTGCAGCATGTGGAGTCTCAGTGCCAGCGTATCCTCTCCACTGTAGAGCACTGCTGTCCCACCCTGGTCCCTGAGGCCAGTGTGTGGACCCCTGAGGGTTTGATCAGGTCGGTAAGATGATCAGTTCAAGGAAGTCAGGAACAGCCACTCAATCTGAAACACGACTGCTAAATCTCACCAGGCCTCACTTTGCGGTTTTGTTACACAGCAGAGTCTTTCATTGGCTGAAGCAACATGATTGATCTCAGCTGTTGTCAGCTCATAAACCTGCTGAATGCCCCTGTAAACCACTGCGGGTCATAAACTACAACCCAAAACTTCAGAGCAGGAAAAGACACTTGCAAAATTCCAGTCAGTCAAATCGCAAGCTCAATGAAGGCATCAGTTAAGTAATTGAGTAATCACTTTGTAAAAACTAGCATGTTAACAAGCATTTTAATAAGTTCAGTGAAGTCAGGAATGGAGTGACCCAGAAGACTTTGTATATTGGGGTGTCCTTTGGGCATCTTTGGGTGGTTGCGCCCATACCGTGACTCTGTTCCAGGGCCAGGGACTGACGAAGAGAAGGAGACAGCCACAGAGGTCCTGGAATCAACTGCTCACGACGAGGAGATAAAAGACACAGAGGTGGACCATACAGGTATTGCATGCTTAAGCAAAACCCTGCCAGATTACAGTGAGCAGCCTTTACCTGGAGCTCAGTTGTACACAATAAACCACCAAGCACTCGACAGAAGGAATGAGCACTGCAGTGTCTGGCACCTCAGAAGGCTGACGATCATGGGGTGTGCTTGCTGGGCATTCCCACTGCATCTGGTCTGCGTAAGAGATGGAGATCCACGCACCAGTCATTCTCAGTGCTCAAGGATCATCTGTGGCCAGCATTAAAGATCAGACTCTCCTGCATTCAAACTGAAAACATGAAGTGCAGGTTCCCCCAGTTTAAAACTCTTTACAAGAGCCCAGGCGTCCAGGGAAGAGCTGTTTTAAACATTAGATCAGGGCCAGTTTGCTCTGAGCCAGCTACAGCTACACAGACCCACTGAAGCTGCCTGTGGTTATCAGCTGGCTAGCACTTCTTTCATATTGCCCTAAACTCTAGAGTCCACAGGCAGTCCCGACCTCTCTCCCTCCCCCTGGGTGGAGCTAGGCTTTAATCCCTGTCCACTGCTAACAGCCCTGACCTCTCACTCTCTCTCACTCTTTCTAAACCCCTCCCCCTGGGTGGAGCTAGGCTTTAATCCCTGTGTACTGCTAACAGTCCTGACCTCTCACTCTCTCTCCCTCTTTCTAAACCCCTCCCCCTGGGTGGAGCTCGGCTTTAATCCCTGTGTACTGCTAACAGTCCTGACCTCTCACTCACTCTCCCTATTTCTAAACCCCTCCCCCTGGGTGGAGCTGGGCTTTAATCCCTGTGTACTACTAACAATCCTGACCTCTCACTCGCTCTCCCTATTTGTAAACCCCTCCCCCTGGGTGGAGCTGGGCTTTAATCCCTGTGTACTACTAACAGTCCCAACCTCTCCTTTCGCTTTCCCCCTTTCCAGGCTTTCCTAGAGTGGAAGGTGGAAGTGAGCTCTGAACTCTGCCCACTGCACATGGTCCTGACCTCTCACTTGCTCTCCCTCTTTCCAAGCCCCTCCCCCTGACTGCCAGAAAGCTCTAATCCCCACCCACTTCACATGGTCCTGATGTCTCATTTGCTCTCCCTCCCTCCAGGCCCCACCCCCTGGGCGGAGCTGAGCCAGATTGTGCAGAGAGAGCTGAGCTCGGAGGTGAGACGGGTGCAGACCGTGCTGGAGCAGCAGCTGAGGGAGAGCACACAGAGGTTGGACAGCAGACTCAGCTCGGTGGAGACGCGCCGCGACAAGAAGAAGTAAAACCCAGTGCTGCTGCCCTATTGCAATATTAAAATATCTGTTCCATTGAAGACTGCTGCTGTCTCCTTGAGTACTGGTGTTTCCAGTTACACAGGTCTGTGTAACACGCTTGCACTCCATGTTCCAGACACTGGCAACAAAGACAAGACCACAGGGGCCCAGACCACCACGCTGCAGGTGCTCGTTCATGTGACATTCATGCTGGCCCTGTGCACAGTCGTGCCCATGTCGTTGGGTTTGAACTGCTGTAAATTTCCAGCGGTTCAGTAGTGTTGAAAAATTAGTCACACAAGGCTAACAGCTAATGGCTCTTAGTGTCATTGGTCAGAGCAACATGGGCAAAATACCTTTGTTCTCCCCTTGTAGGTGGGCAGTTGGAAAAATGGAGGAAGAGCAAAGTTTTTCTGTATGAACCCCTCTCTCAGTGCAGTGTTAATGTACTGGAGTGTCCAGTCAGTCAGTG